AATTTTACAAGAAAGGAACCTCAAACTTCCCCCATGACAGGTGCTTTTAGAAGGCATTTAGAGGTGCTGCCATCCCTATCTGTTGATCTAACGTCTACAAGATTTTCAACACTTTTAGCGTCTGCCTCTCCCTCTCCCTCTCAATCTTTCATGTCAATTATTGGCTAAAAACGTAAAATGGACTCGAAACTACTTTCTCCAACCCCTCTCCAACTATTCATCTCAACCGCTCAAATTTTATGTTCAAGTGTCATGGTCGTACTTCTAGTTTTTGCTTCCTCTTTAACGGGATTATTCTCTTAGATCTTCTACATCCTCCCACGGTTGGACATCTATCCTTTGGATTCAAAGTTATAACTTTCTGGTAAATGGTATAATGCCTAAACCATGAAGTTTAGGTGCACTCCTTTTAATCTAAACAGTACTTTGAACTGATCCTCTGCCTCTTCCAATCCGACCTGTTTTGGTTTTCTCAAACTTCTTTTATTATCCTGACTTTTTTTTTTCAACAATGTGGGGTGGGGGATTTGAACTTTTGGTCTTTTATTCAAGGACATATGTTTTAAACATATCAATTTTATGTTCCATGTAGAGTTTGTTGATTACTCTCGTTCTCACCTTCCTTCCCCGTTCACCCCCAACGATCATCCCAATATGTTGCTATAACACATTTACTCCCGCAACTAAGTGACATGAAATGGATCAGGGTCAGTGTCAGCCACTCTCTAAATTGAGATTCTTCCTCAGTGATATTGAATAATTGATCTGGAGTTCTAACATATAATACCATATTGTTTCATTATATTGTTTCATTATTTTGTATCATTATATTGTTTCATTATATTGTATCATATCTGACCTATTCTTGCCATACTTCATGTGAAACAATTTGATTCAGGTGTTATAGTTTGTGCCTCGTATTCTAAGGTAATTTTGATGTGGAATAAAATTCTGAACAGGTGAGGGACGATCTCTATAAACAAAGGAAACCCGAAATAAAAGTAACCAGCAATAGCGTGTGCTCCCTTTGCAATAAGAAAATAGGGACGAGCGTTTTCGCGGTCTATCCAACTGGGATAACCCTTGTACATTTTGTCTGCTTTAGAGACTCACAGAGCATGAAGGCTGTGTCCAAAGGTTCGCCAATAAGGAAGCGTACATAGTGAAGTGATGTAAGGGCTTCTCCCTTTTTAGCTATCAATAACAAAATGAAGCTCTAACAGGTTAACTAACAAACTCAGGCGTCAAGGAGGGTGACTGCTGGTGTGGAGAACTTGGAAAGTGGCTTGGAGAGTGTTTATTTGCCATTCATGGGATTGGTTTTTTGGGTGCATTTATATATTATAGTTTTTTTTTTCTTCAATTGGGTGAAGAATGTGAGGTTGTATTTATATGAGGGTTTTGACTATGCCTTGAATGAAAGGGCACAAGATCCTAATTTTACTGTGATATGTCATGTAATCAAAGTAATTGCTTTATTTAAGAAAACAATTTTCTTGTAAGCAAAAATATCATTTTGAAATTATTATTAAATAATTTTATGGTTAAATATATGTTTTAGTTTTAATCTTGGAATGTTTTTGTTAATTTGTCTCTATTGTTTAAAATGCTTTTAAAATTAAAAAAAAAAAAAAAAAAAAAAAAAACTAATCCAAACTAATTAAATTTATTGGTGAAGGCTACAGATGGCTGTTGATAAACCTACGAGTAAAATTTAGACGAAAAAGTTACTTCACATGGTAGAATTTCTAAATTTTTTTAGTATATTGTGAACTGATTTTATTTTCTTTTATTAAATAAAAAATGCTAAAATATAAAATAATTAAATAATGAAATTTTTTTGTTCAAAATATTTGGAGCCAGCTACTAAAAAAAATAAACATTTTATGAGAAATCAAATTCAGAAGGGTATTAGCAGTCGGACACTAATAAATGGGTCATTCAATTTCTTGTATTTTAGTTCAAATAATTTGGGGTTGTTATCATTATTATCTGTATTATGGAATGTCTTATTTTGTATTATTTCAACTTTATGAGCTAAGTCTATGTGCCATTAGTGAATCAATAATTAATTGAACTAAATACCCAAATTAATTCCCTTATAAAAGTATAAGAATTTGATAGACGGTGTAAATTAGTTTTTGGCCTATAGATTCATTACTATATAAAAATGGTGAGACTTAAAATAAAATATTAAAAAATGCATGGATTAAAAAATTATTTTAATTATTTTTAATAACATCAAAAAGTTATTTTAAATTTTTTGAAGAATAATTTTCTGTTGGTTGGTATCCTTCATGCATTCTCCTTGTTTGTCATTTTCGTTTTCACATTATTAGAGGTGAAATAACTGACCTGACCATCTGCCACGTGTAATTACGAGCCTGCAAGCTTCGCCGTGGGTCTATAACTCAATCCTGGCCGTTGAATTATAATTATAACAATTCAACCTAAAATCATAAGAATAAATTAGGTTACATAATTTCTCCACATCTTATAATTATAACATCGTGCATTATTCATATCATAGAATTATAATTTTTTTTTCTTAAAAAAGTAAAAAAAAAAAAAAAAAAAGGTTTTAAACTTATCCCGTACGGCCAAAAAGTTTCACAACTCGAGCAAAGTTCTCGTACGACGAGCCTCCTTGCGCACAGGCCTTTTCTGCACTTCGTTGAAGTTCCATCGCCTTCGCTCTTATGGCTCTCCCTTCTTCGTCCTCCTCCGCCATTATCTTCCTCACCATCGCCGCGATCTCCTCCCTCCCGATCACCGCATTCCCTGGCAGCTCCTTCGGCCGCACCGCTACCCCCATCTCATCCGCCAGCATCGTGGCGTTCATCCTCTGCTCCGCGTACAACGGCCACACTATCATCGGAACTCCCTTCGTAATTCCTTCCAATGATGAGTTCCATCCGCCGTGCGTGAAAAATCCCCCCACTGCCGGACTCCCCAGCACCGCCGTTTGCTCCGCCCACATCGACACCAGAAACCCCACCTCGCTAGTCCGCTCCAAAAACCCCTCCGGCAAATATCTCGCCTCTGATTGGTCCTCACTCCCATCCCCTGTCGTGAAAAACATCGCATCCGACCTCACCTGTAAGATAAAATATTGAACAATTGCGCCCAACACTTCAAATTTTCACTTTTTTGTTGGAACTTAAATTTTTTTTATATAAACATAAATTAATTAAAACAAAGATATTAATATTTTATATAGTCCTAAATAATCTTTTTTACTTTTCTCAAATTATTTTCATCTTCTATTTTAATAAAAAAATTTACGAATAAAAATGAAATTTTACAAAGTTTAGGATATTTTAAATAGTTCAAAATTTAATTAATACTAATAAGCATAAATTTCTTGTTTGGTTTATTAACATATAGTAAAAATTTTAATTTTGGTTTTTTTTTTTTTTTTTGAGATTATAATGAATTGATTAATTAAACTATATTCCTTCAAATAAATAAGTAAATAAGTTTGGATTTTTTTTTAGTCCAAGATCCAAAGCTAATTAACGTTTACCGTGGGCGGCCGGACCACCCAAACAAATCTCTGCCGACTCAACTCCAAGCCATGAGCCATTTCCGTCATTTGCTCAAACGACAACGTTCCGCCGCTCCCGAACGACACGTAAATCACCGACTTCCCGGGCTGCTTCCTCAACCAGTTGAACAGCTCGCTCGAGCCGTCTTTCCCAGAGCCGAAATGTCGCACGATCGGTCCGATCGAGTAAACCGGCGCGTTCATTACTCGACCCAACAGACTCCGATCTTTGAACGATGCGAGTGTGCGACCTTGCAACTCATCCCACGAGTTAACCAAAACGCCGTGGCTCGACGCTATTGCCCTCCCCATTTTGACGTACTCGTAATACTGGGATTCGGTCCGGTCCAGCATCGGGTCTACGACGTCACATGGACGAACCGGTTCGCATCCAGGGATTTGAAGCGGTTCTTTCTGGTCCACGTACTGCCCGACGATTTGCTTGTCGAGAACCTGGGCGTAAATGGTCAAGGCTAAAAACCATGCATTAGAGGCGACGAAGACGTATTTGGCCATGTGGAACTCGTCGGCGACGGCAAAGGCCTCGGTGGAGAAGATGTCTGCAATGAGGGCGGAGGGGCGGGAGGTGAGAGCAGAGATGGCCGAGCGGAGAGCCGGGACGTGGCGGCGCATGGTGATGGCAAGGCGGCCAACGACAGTGGAATCGGTGACGTCGGACATGTCAGCCGGTGGGAGTTCGACGACAGTAAAGAGGCCAGTGGCCTCGGCGGCGGCAACGACGTTATTTTCGGCGGAGGAGGAGTGGGAGGTGACGAGGAAAACAGTGAGGGTGAGGTGGTGGCGCGTGGAGAGTCGCGTGGCGAGCTCGAGAGAGGGGAAGAGGTGGCCCATCCCGGGGCTTGAGATGAGAGCGACGTGGGTTGGGGAGTCCATGGAGAAATGGAAGAAGGGTAAAGCAACTTTAGATGTTACCACAAACTGTATACTCACGTATTTGTAGTTACATTATCGGACGCGGAGGCTGAAGAATCACGCGCCCAAATTGGCGCCAGCTATGCCGGACCTCGTTTTTGGGCCTTGATTTGGACGCCTACTGTTGGGCCTAGGCCCACAATTTTGTTTTCAAAATTTGTTTATGAATGTGTATTTTTTTAGCCAAATTGCTAAAATTGGATGTTATTTAAAAGTTAAATTAATAATTGTAAGAATTGTAGATATTTGAAAATAGAAAAAGTATTTAAAATAAATCTTTTTAAAAAATTTAATATTTTAAAAATGAATTAATTTATTAGAAATAAATTTAAACTTGATATGCTATGGATTTGTAATTTTTGAAAAATTGGAAGGTTAATTGTAATTTTGAAAGTTAGAATAAATAAATCTGTAATTTAAAAGGAATACAGAATAATTGAAATGGAAAAAGAAAGAAAAAGAAATTTTTTTTTTTGAGAGAGTGTGTGTGACGAGTGAAAATGGAAATTGAACAAACGTTATGAAATAATTTTGGATTTGAAGCTTTAGACGTCCCGCCTATCTGCGGCAGAAAGGAAGGGACCATCCGCGTTGATCTTACGCTCGGTAATCCCTAATTCCAAAACCCTATCTTTCTCTCTCCATCTTTCTCCCTCTTCATTCCCAATTTCGAATCCGGATCCTTCGCTTTCAATCGGCCGCACCGCCCACTTCCTTCTTCTTCTTCTTCGCACTCTCTTCTGTTTTCCAGCTGAGCTCCCAACGAAATGAGGAAAGGTACTAAGAGGAAGGCAACTCGGAAGGAAGACCATAAACCCGCTCAACCTAAGCCCAAAGAAGTTCCTTCTCGAACCAAGCGGATCAAGGTCCCCAAACCCGAATCCGAACCCGAGTACTTCGAGGACCAGCGCAACTTGGTATTCTATATTCTACACCATTTCTGCTACTGCTCTACCTCTTGTTCTCTGCCTCTATCGAGTCTTGCGTTAGTCTTGGTTGTTATGTTATGGGATTTATTCTATCTCTTTCCTGGGTTTTCAATTTTCACTATCATCAGTTATTACATTCCCCGCTTTTTTTTATTTCCTGAAAATTTGAGCTGTATGATTTTTGTGTGGGGATGGTTTCGTTTGCTCTTTTGGGTTTCTTGAATAATCTCGTATGCTGCGGCGTAGCCACCTAAAATCAACTTCTGTATTGCAGCTTGGTTTTTATTTAATAAGCTATTGGAATCAGATGCTTATTTTATTATTATTATTATTTTGTAATATGACAATACCTGAATTGGGGGACTTTTTGGAGCTTTTTGAGTGTATGTGGATTGCCAATTGGTAGTTTGTTGCTTCTTCTGATTTACGAAGAACTATTATTAAATGCAGGAAGATCTGTGGAAAGCAGCATTTCCTGTTGGGACAGAGGTTTGGCATAAACCACAGTGCTGGTTTCTTTTTATCAGAACTCTTATTGTTCTGTTGCTTATACATATACACGTTCTTTTATTTCAGTGGGATCAATTGGACTCGGTTTATCAATTTAACTGGAATTTCTCAAATTTAGAAGTGAGTTTGATAACCTCTCAAGGTTCAATTTTGGTTTATTTTTAAAAAAAATTATTTATTAGGATTGGTGATATAACAATTGCAATTATTGTCAGGATGCATTTGAAGAGGGAGGAAAGTTGTACGGTGAGAAAGTTTATCTTTTCGGCTGTACAGAGCGTAAGTAGCTTAACTGATAAAAGAATCTTATTCTATATTTTTGAACATAAGCAAGTCGATTTCATTAGGGTCTAGTATATTGTTCCAACCCTTTAAAAGCTTCTTTTTCCTTACCCTTTTTTTTTTGTTTGTAGTCTAATTATGCTTGATTCCTGTTTGTGCAGCTCAATTGGTTCCTTACAAGGGTGAAAATAAAGTTACAGTCATACCTGCTGTGGTGGCTGTAAGTCATTATATTTATTAATTTTTGTATATGGTGTTGATTGTTATTTGTTTTTATTCAAAGACAAAGGCTTCTAGAAATGACTAGTTAGTGGGTTTTGATCCAGGTGTTAAGACAGCCTTAAACTTTTTTGCCTCTTTTATTTTCTTCTTCATTGTATATGGTGTTTACAATGTTTTCATTTTCCTTTGTTCAATACCACTGGCCTTTTCCATGGTTTTTGTTAGTTGCCATGTTAATTGACTGACCACCATATTACTAATACCAAATTAAAGAAGTTGTTGACTTATTATTACTTTTCTCATTTGTTAACATTCACCGCATTGCCATGGAATTGGAATTAAAGAAGTGCTTTTTCTGGTTGTACAGGTTGTATCTCCTTTCCCACCTTCTGATAAAATTGGCATCAACTCTGTTCAAAGAGAGGCTGAAGAGATAGTACCCATGAAACAAATGAAGATGGACTGGGTTCCTTATATTCCTCTGGAGAAAAGGTGTTAATTTGTCAATCTTTCTTAGCATCTTTTAGATTCTAACTCTGGTTTATATTTGACCATGAAATCTGATTCCTCTTCAGAGATAGCCAAGTCGATAAGTTGAAATCTCAAATATTCATCCTCAGTTGCACTCAGAGAAGGTACAAATATGAATGACCTTCCACTTCTATTTTGCAGCCACTTACAATTTCACAATTCCTTATATCTTTTATATACTACTCTTCAACAAAAATTTGGACATGGTGTGATGCTTGTGCGAATTGTTTCTGCAGAGCTGCTTTGAAGCATTTGAAAATAGATCGTGTCAAGAAATACGAGTATTGCTTACCCTGTAAGTTTTTGATAAATTAGGTAGTTAATTATATGACTGGCGTTTTATTCAATGAGAAGGGAACAGCTGAAAGCTCTTGGGAGGAGAAAGTGAAATGCTTTCTAAAGGGGATAAGTGATATCTAGTTGTAGTTTTCCACCCCACACTTTTAGTACCATTAATATTTGGTGTCATCAAGATAATCCTGCTAATGGTTATCATTGAAGTCTATTCAAGTTTGTCATATCTCATGCTGTTATGTTTCTGGCAGATTTCTACCAGCCATTTAAGGAAGATGAAATTGAACAAAGCACTGAGGTTCCAATTATTTTTCCAATCGACCCGAAACCAGTAAGGTTTTTAATCCATGCTGTTTTAAAAAGGCTCATGAATGCATAGTGTGTAGGGAAAAGATTAGTTGAGCATTCTTATTTACAATCTGAAATTATATGCTTATATTTTCAGATTTTGATGCCCATTTGGATTAGGATGATCATGCAGGGGAACTGCAAATCTATATGTAAGTTTAACTCTTTTGTTATCTGCAGGTTTTCTGTGAGTTTGATTGGGAATTAGATGAACTCGAGGTACAAGATGTTAATTCAAATGACTGTCTTGGTTATTATCTTTCAATAGTTTAGGTTGCTGTTCGTTTCTGAAAACTTTCTTGAGGGAAATTCCCATAGAATTTTATGTTTATGCATTGTTTTCACAAATCTTCAGGAGTTCACGGATAAGTTGATTGAGGAGGAAGAGTTGCCAGAAAATCAAAAGGATGCTTTCAAGGTATTAGTTTGTCAAGTGTTGCAGCCAAGGAAGCTATTTTATCCTTATAAAACCATAAATGATTATGCTTGATTTTTTAGGCTTTCGTGAAGGAGAAAGTAAGAGAGGCCAAAAAAGCTAATAGGGAGGTAAACATCGTTAGTTATATTGTTATAATTTCGTTTGTAATAAGTAACAATTACGTCAAGGTCTTATATTTGGTTTTCTTTCAGGCTAGGGAAGCACGTAAAAAGGCGATCGAGGAAATGAGCAAAGAAACTAAAGAAGCATTCGAGAAGATGAAATTTTACAAGTTTTACCCTGTACAAACATCCGATACACCCGACATATCCAATGTCAAGGTAGGATTAACTCAGCATATAAGCATCTTGGTCAATGAGAGTGAGAAGTGTTTGAACTTGAACTGAATTTTTGCTAAACCTCGATCTTAATAATCAATAATGGCTATGGACTACAAACTATTAGAGAGCTTCCCATCTTTCTCAATACTAAATTGAAGGAAGGTGACCAGAAGCCTACACCTTTCTAGATAACATTCTATAGCTATAAAGTTTGTACCTCTTAGGAACCTAAGTGCTTCCCCTCCTTACTTATTTACACTCAAGGCTATATAACCAGCATAGATTGACCTCTTGACCTAATGGTTAGTGTAGTTCATTGTCAATAATAAAATGGCTTAAAGGGAAAGATTCAAATCATTGGTGGCTAACCTGTTGCGGAATAAGATTCAGCAGTTGAGAAAACTTGGGAGTTTTTGTGATAACCATATGTAGGGGAGGGGGTAAGGTAATTGTCCCCTTAGGTTAGTTGACCTGAAAATCATGTATATCAACTTCACTCATTATTTCACTGATATATTCCTCCAAATCTTAAAAGGTTATTTTGTCTCACATAATATCTTTGGCTTTCCAGGCTTCATTTATTAATAGGTACTATGGAAAGGCTCACGAAGTTCTGTGATCTCAAACCACGGCTGTCTCGAGATAGAAATTTATATGAAGCTCCTTTCTGGTCCAAATTTTGCTCAACATGTAAAGGTACAGCTTCTGTTGAATCCCGAAAATGGTGACGCCAATGCCTTTCAACTGATTTCATCAATCGAGCGAGAAAAATGACGGGATCTAGAAAGAACAGTAGCCTTCAAAATCTGTAGAAGATAGCCTGCTGTATTATTTAGGGTCATGCTTTTGTTCTTCAATCGTTTTTTTCTTTTTCTTTTTTGTTCCTTCTTTTTCTAAACTTCTTTTCATTAGCAAACAAAAGGGCATAGAACCTCACTTACTCTTAGTTGGAATATGTCGATGTAGTTGTGTTAATTATTTCATCTCGTCAGTTTTGTTTGTGTAACCATAGTTGAGTTCTTCATCCTCCAAGAACAAATTATGTTACCTGTTTCATTGTGCTTGAAATGTCATTACACATTTTTCGGTTTCGAAAGACAAATAATTCCATTTGTCGAATAATTTAATTATGTTCATGTCTATTGAATACATTATGTTACATTTTTAGGACCGTGTTGAGGACTTAGTTCTCAAGTCAAGGACTTTCATTGGTAATTAATTTGGATTCTCAAATTAATAAGATTCATAATGACGAGAAGTTCACTATAATTTTTTTTATTAATAATATTTTTCACAGTTGAGCTATATTTAAATCAACAAATATATTTGGAATATTTGTGATAAGAAAAGTAGTGCAATAAGGCAAGCAAAGTAAGTACCTAGAGACCAAGAAATTAAATGTGAATGTGATTAGAATAAAGGTCAAATAGCATAATATATTATGACATTACCACTCTTACTTTAAACTATTCATTATAGATTCAAATCCCACATCCCATCACTTTTATAACAATAAAATTTAAATATAATTCTCTCTAAAATCTCTCCATAAAACCATACTCTTTTAACTCTTTAAATCCTACCATCAATTCCAATTTATTTATTAGACTATGATAAATTCTCATTAATATATTCTAAACTTGACATGGAAATTCAAAAAAAAAAAAAAAAAAAAAAAGATTTTTCATTAATTCTTTCGAGTATATATAATCAAATCACCAACCAGAGCTCTGTTGAAGATGAGGCGCCATAGCTCGACCTCGATTTCCTTCATTTTCATGGACTGCACTCAAATTGAAACCCCTTAAATTTTCCCCAAATCCAACGCCGTCGATTATATGGTAACTCTTTGGATTTCCTTGATGATGGTTGTGATTATGATTATGAGCCCCGAGTGAATAAAACCCAGAATTTAAATTCTGAAAATCGAACACGGAATTGGCCGATTTCCCGCCAATAATCGGTTCGGCTGGACAGACCGCCGCCGTGGATTTTGCAGGAGACGGGGAGTGATCGTCCTGTCTGGCCAAAGAATGCTTCTCCTCCTCTGTTTCTCTATATTTGTTGAGGTAAGTCTTCAAAGTGGTGACATAATTTTCGAATCCCAGAGTGGTCATGGCCCAGAGCAAATCGTCGCCGTTGATCGTCTTCCGTTTTTCCCTTTGGCACTTGTCCGAGGCCTCACCGGTGATGAAGCTGATAAACTCCGACACGCATTCTTGTACGGTCTCTTTCGCCTCTTTCGAGATTTTCGCGTTCGGCGGAAGGGATTTTTTCATTATTCGGCTCACGTTTGCGATCGGAAGGAAACGGTCTTGTTCTTTCGTGGAGCTGTCGGAGATGTTGCCAGAGGTGGGGCTGCCGACGGGACTGCTGTTGGTGGCGGTGGCGGTGGCGGTGGTGGTGTTTCGCTTGTGGCCGTTCATGGCGGTAGAGTTTGGCCGGAATTTGAAGGCGGAGGGGGGTTTTCGTGGTGGTGGTGGAAGGTCGGTTTGAAGTGGGGATTTTAAAGGTGGAGGATGCAAAGAGAGGAGAAAATTAAATTAATAGGAAAGACGGTTTGATTTTGACAGAAAATGGAGAAAGAAAAAGAAATATAAGGAATGTTTCTTTAATTTCTTTCCTTTTAATTTTCCCTTTTTTTTTAATTATTATTATTGAGAACAACATACGCCTTTCACTTTTTAGTTGAAAATATTATTAGAAGATGAAATTAATAAAAATATCATTTAAAATTATTTATAAACTTCCAAAAATTTCATACCTCTAAATTTATAAATTTTTAAAAATAAAAAATAAAAATGATCTCACCTTCTCCTATAAAGATATTAGTATTTTGTTTTAAAAAATACTTTTAATTTTTAAATGTTTTATTAATATCTTTAAAAATTTTAAAAATTAAAAAATTTATACTATTTTATTAATATCTTAAAAAAATTTCTCTCTCCCTGGTTATAAAACTTTATATTAGACAATTTCTTTAAAATTATCTTAAGTTGAAGAAAAAATTAATTTAAAATTTCTATTTCTATTTGAAAATACTCATAAATGAAAAGGTTCGAAATAAAATAAAGGGGACAAGGCAGTATAGAAATCACGTGAAATCAAAAGAGAGAGAAGAAATCAAATAAGAATTTGATCATTAAAGTATAAATGAACCGTTTTTATGTTAACCTACGATTGACCATAACCGTTTAAAACGTTTTTTTTATTATTTTTGAAAGTTCATGAATGCTTGTAAAATTAAGTAAAAATAGATAATAAACTATTCTTTTCAATGAGACGAAGAAAGTAAATCAAAGGAAGTGACTTGGAATAATTAAAAGGCTTTCTTTTGACCAAAACCTCACCTCTTCATGTCCACTTCTCCTTTTATCTCTTCAAATTCCAACTCCTTTCCTCTCAATAATATCGGTTCGTCCCATCAAAATTTTAAACTGTTTAGGCGGTTCTTTAATCTAATTAGCATAAACTTTTAAACTCAATTATACTAAATTATCATGTCATTTCAATAAACGTGCAAATCAAGATTTGATCTCAGCATTTCTCGATCTACTTTGAAGAGAATATATATTTATCCTCACTTATATGCTTTTTGGAAAAGAAAAAAAATTTAAGCGGTCATATAGCATAGGATTGCTTCAATTGAGGAGATGTTTAGTTTTAGAGTTTTTATGATAAAGCCATCAAAACGAAAAAGTACAGTCCAAAATCACTTTCATCTAAGTGTAATCTCGTTTCATTCGTATACCTTTTTTTACTCAAACATCACATATTATAATAACAAGAGGTTCAGATTTGGGTTTGCACGAGAACGTGAGATTTGGGTGAAGTAAAAAGAGAAATGTCAAAAGGGATTCACTTTTTGGTGACAAGTTTGATGGGTGTAAATTGTTCATCCAAATTGGTGGGGGCCGAAAATTCTTATGTTCAAATTAAATGGTTGCCTTAGCTTTGAATTTGTTGGGTATTATTTATACACCCAAGCTTTGAAATGACAATTCCTCTTTTTATCATTTTAATTTTCTTTTTATCCTACCTGTTATATTCAATTATTAGCAAAATTAAATAAATGTGTATATATATATATTTCCACGTCATCTACCGATTTGTTTGTGCATTTGCCATTTGGCGTGAAAAGGCATGTTCCACTTTTCAATTTTCAATCTCTAAAAAATATTGATAAAAATAAATTAAATTATTAACAATTGCAGGCCTTCCTCTATTTTCTTATTTTATTTTGATTTTATTTATAATTTAAAATTCTTCATGCAAGTTGAAATTAGAGATATGTGTAAATAAAGCTTCATTATTTTATTTACAAAATTAAGACAGATACCTTTACGAAAGAAAGAGATTAAAATAATATTTGTTCCATAATCAACCATCAATTCAACGCTTCATTATTATTATTATTTTTTTTCTACGATTCTCCAATATTTATTTATGGTTTTAAAAAAGTTTTTATAGCCATAAACTTTGAATAAAAATAATAATTACTAAAAAAAAAAAAAACTATTCTAACTTGTAGGTGCATTGGCCTTGGCTCATAGTCCAACTCAGAGGCGCATTCCTATCTGGATCGATCAATCGAGCTCCTTGATCGGGCCTCACAAGCTTTTAGCAAGCTATTATTCTTTGGCCCATAACACAGGCAAAGTTTTAATCTTTATATTAATTTGTATTAATTTAGTGTTGTATTTTTAATTTTATAATTAAAGTGAGAGACATTTAACAATTTATTTCTTATATTTTATAATTCATAATTATTTAATCTTTTAATTTTAATTCGTAATAACTTAGTTTTCGTATTTTAAAATTTATAATAATTTAGTGTCTACATATAACTCGTTTACTCAAGTTTGACACAAAAAATTAAATAAATACGTATATAAAAATTTATAAACTTTGTCACGGTGGAACAAACAAGAAATGAAGGCAGTAGATTAATAATATTTTATAGAAATATGACAAGATATTTATATAAAAAAGTAAAGTGGGAAAAAACTGGCTGACATCATCATTGCCCACCATTCACTGTTTTACGTTGTTCATCCAAGTCAAAAGGATGGAGGCCCATGGGTTGACCCAAACAACCTAATGTTTTTCTCGGTCTTTATATAATAATGATTGACAACCGGTCCACAAAAAAAAAAAAAAAAAAAAAAAAAAAAAAAAAAAAAAAAAAAA